TGGGCTCAGGCTGGGGCTGGCACCTTGCAGTGAGCACGAGCAGGCTGCGCCTCCTGGCCTGCAGCCTCTCGGGGCTGGGGAACCTTCACCTTGGTGGGGCTGACAGCAGGGCCCAGCTTCGGCCTGCGAGCAGTGTCTCTGCCCCTGCTCTTCCATGGCTTGGCTGTGGGAGCCACCCCAAAAATGCGGGCCGTGGGTTTCCCACTCAGCAGAGCAGTGGTGCCTGGCTGTCCCTGGGGTGAGGCTATACAGGGATACCATCAACACGCCTCGGCTGTGCCCAGTGCCGCAAACACACGCACGCAGCTTGTAACAAACAGGCTCTATTCTGAGAACTGACGCCTGGGGACGTGGACGCGGGCAGGCGGCCTCCAAGGAGGTGGAACAGAGCAGTGGGGACACACGTGGAGTGAGCTGCGCAGCCTGGGGCAGAGCCCAGGCCCTTGCAGGGTGCCAGAAGCACAGCTGAGACAGGAGCTATGGGCTAGGGCATAGCCTGCCACACATTAGTGCTCTCTCTGGGTCAGCAGCACCTAATTCATCGGGTTGTGAGGGCTCAAGGACTCCCCCAGAAGGTGCCAAGCCCAGACATCAGACACACGGCAAGGCTCAGAGCAGCAGGCGCCCGCACAGGGGAGGGAAGCAGGTGCCAAGGGAGACGCTGGATACCTGCTCTGTGATGGCGGAGGGCACCAGCGCAGCCAGAGGCAGCATCTAGCTCCAGCCCCTGCCTAGGGCCTTCACTGCAAGGGCACAGCCAGTGCCAATGGCATGGCAGTGCCTCATCCAGGCCAGGCACAGCAGCACGCAGGTGGGTCTGGACAGCCACTTGCTTTGCCCACTCAGCTGTCATGCCCCTTGCCTGTGCTGGGCAAGCTGGAGCCCAGAGGCATGTCTCCCTCCTTAGCAGGGGCTTCCTGCCAAGCAGGGGAAGCAGCATCACACACGCGTATGGCTGAGGCTGCCCCAGGACCCACAGTACAGGCCTCATGAGAGACAGGGAGCAGCAGGGAGGAGCCATGGCCCTTCATGACCTGCCTGCTCAGCTCAGCCTGGCGCAGGCACTGCCCTGGCAGGGAGGGGGATACCACAGGGGGAGGACAGGGCGCATACAAACTGGATTCAAAATGCAACAAGGGGGCTGTGCTGCCCATTCTTCCTGCAGGGGCCTCCTCCAGCAGAGCCCTGCCCTGCCAGCAGCTGGAGGGGCAAGCGCAGTGCAGGGGGAGCACTGGCAGAGAAGGCTAGGCCACCCCCGAACTTCCAAGTTGGAAGGGCAGCAAGTATGCAGCAACCTCCAGAGCCAGGCAGCTCCATCGCTGCACCTAGGGGTTGCACAGCACATGCTGCAACTGGGGGTGACGGGCCAGGGCTCCAGCGTGATGATAGCATCCCAGCAGCAGGGAAGGGCTGGACAAGTGGAGCCCTGAAAGGCTGGGTCCATATGTGCCACCAAGGGTGCAATCCACCGCAGCTCCCGGAGCCTTGGCCCAGGCGTCTACAGGAACTTGCTGCAGCGTGTTGTGGGGGTTGGGAGGGGATTGGAGACAGGCTGCTTGCAGGCAAGACTCTCCTGGCCCAACAGCCCCTGCCTCCTTCCCCTCCCCCACCACAAGAAGAAATGCCGAGTGATGGCTAGACAGACTAAGGGCTGAGTTAGGCCGTCTGGAGTCTGCTCCGGCCAGCCCCTCTCCCAAGGCATGGGCAGTGCTGGTTCTGCTCGTCAGGTCCTGCCCATCCTGGGGACAAGGAAATCGTGGGGTTGGCAAGGGATGTTTGTTCTTGGAGCACCAGCTGGGTCCAGGGTAGTGTTGCAGCCGGCTCTAGAAGTCTTGGCTGAAGTAGCTGTAGCCCCCCGGGCCAGTCGACTCTTCCCGGACGTACTGCTGCCTCGGGAACCGGCCCACGACCGGCACTGCTCCTGGCATCCTGCAGGTTGGAGGGAGGGACAAGGGAGGAAATGGCGTGTCAGAACTGTCTGGAGTCCACTGTCTCCCACTGCGTGCACGCTGTCGTCATGGAACATGCCACGTGTGCACGTGTGTGGAACTCATGGACTGCAACAGCTTTCAGTGACCTGCTGCCGCCTCCATGCCGATCCACCTGAGCTCCGAGTGGCGCTGCTGGCCCCGGGGACGTGAGCAGGCCTGTCATGCCCTGTGTGGGGGTTCTCTTCTGGGTCAGGCTGGAGTCCAGCACATACTGCACCGAGGGCCAGGCCCCCAAAACTACATCAGCAAGCGCAAGCTTGGCTGCAAGATGTGGAAAGCTTCATTTGTGTCCACAGGTACCGCAGGCTGCTCAGAGCTCAGCTCTCTGCTCCCAGAGTTGCTCTAGAAGGGGCTGGCATGGCCAGAGCAAGGCTCCAGTGTGGGCAGACACCATTGTGGAGCCAGGCATTGCACCGTTAGCAGACAGTGTCCGTGCATGTAAGGACGCAGGTTGTCAGGCACTGGGGGTGTGGGTCCTGACTCAGGCATTTTCTTGGCACACTCGCGGCTCTGCAAAGCAAGTGACCTCCGTCAGCGAGGTTGCACAGCCCACAGCTCAGAACAGATGTTGGGAGGTTCTGGCATTCTTCCAGCCTGCTGGGACAGGAGGGTGCTGCGTGTGCAAAACCACCATGGGACCAGGGAAAGAAAAGGTCAATCATTTCCCCGTCTTGGGTGACTCTGGGTCACCAGGCTGGGTGCATGTTCTTACCCAACTGATCTAGGCTCTGGAGAGTGAGGCCCCAACCTCAGCCAGGTCCAGCCCAGCTGTTTCTGAGGCAACACCAAAAATGTACTTGCACCTCACAGGTCAGCAACAGAGCAACCCAGTGGCAGGCTCCTGAAGACGTGCAGGCTTAGGCTCTACCAGACTTTGGCCTGCTGCCCGCGCCTGTGGGGCATGTTGACACCAGAGAGAGAATCTCGCAGGACAAGTGGTGGAAAGAGCTGGAGCTTGAGCTGCAGCCCCAGCCCCATCTCCTGCTGACTGCGTCTGTGCTGCAGATTTGCTGCTGCAGAACTGCAGCTCCATGACAGTGAAACTGTGCTGGTCCCAGCAGGCTCTGTTAGCATGGTCTGGCTTTGACATCGCCTCTGTCCCTGTTCCCAGTTGGCTGCTTGGTGGTTTTAGGACAGGGCTGGCAAACAGTGCTTTCATGTGGCATCCCAGGCTGCTTGAACTGCATGGACTGAGCAGAGAGCAGTGCCAGGGATCGCAGCTTGAGAACAGCAGAGCTGACTGGCAGGAACAGGATCATCTGGGTCACAATCCCAGTGAAACTACTGCGAGCCAATGGCATGAATGAAAAAGCACTGCGACTCCTCCCCTGGAATGGCCCCAACACCACAGGTCACTTACTGGTTCTTGTGTTTGAAGCCACTGATGTGAGCCTGGTACTGCTCTATGGAGTTGAGCACGATGTTACAGGTGCTGCAGGGGTACCCCTTCCCAGCTGAAACAGACAGCAATGTTAGTGCACATGCTAGCCGACAGCATGGGGCCTCCGGTAAAAAGAGGTGAGAGAAGCAGTCGCTTGACTTGCTAATTAAACAGCTGCTAAACAAAAAGCACCAAGGAAAGGCCTGGCATTCTGCCCAGCCAAGGGCCTCACAGGCCTGTACTCTGCCCCCTGCTCCCACTGAGCCTCCATATGGGCCAGGAGGTCAGCCAAGGCAGCTGAGCAGCCTGCACCTCAGCTATGAGATGCCACCGTTACGGCAACGCAGCTGAGCTCATGCTCCTCCAGCGAGCTCCGAGCACTTGCAAGCCAGGCTGATCATGCCCTGCTTCCACAGGTCCCTGCTCTCTAAATCCTCCATCTGCCCTCCTGACTTGTGCACCTTCCTACCAGAGCAGAGGAACCCACACACGTATCGCTCGAAGCGCTTGGGCAGGCAGCTGCTGAAGAAGCAGCATAACAGCAGGCTGCAACACATCTCCCACTTGGATCAGTGCTCATCTGGAGCAATGAGCTCTGCCCTCTGGCATGTCAACAGCAGTCCATGCTCTCTGCAACCATCCCTGCTTCTCCAGCACCACTGCTCCAGAGATCAGCACCCTGAGTGACATGGCAGCTCCAGCTGGACAGAGCTTTGGTGGGCACGCACTGAACCTCAGTGGGGCTCAGTGGCAGAGCTGGCACACAGAGGACCGCTGCAGACAGTCAACAAGAGGCAAGACGGGCCCCTGCTATTCCCAGCTCTTGCGAGTCAGAACGCATGTTCTTTCTGTGTGCACATAGGGGGACACATGGGACGCAGCAGATGCTCCCATCTAGCGGCTGCACTGCAGAGGGCTCAGACTCCTCCGGGCCATTTCACCCTGACAACCGTGGTCCAGCATCTGATTTGAAAGGCCAAAGGGGCACCAGGGTGATCCAGCCTGGCCTTCTGTGACCCATGTTGGATGGTCACTTTTAGATAGCTACATCCTCGTCTCCAAAATCCTGCCTGCAGTGCTTGATATGATGCAAGCTGCATACGTGGGGCACCGTGGGAGATCCCTGTTGCACTAGACAGCTATACCCCATACCCCAGCACCTGGCAGGGACAGAGCGCAAGGAACTCATCTCCATCTTCACTTGAACTGTAAGACTGCAACACTAACCCAGGGATCAATGTACAAGGAAAGAAGCAGGCATCAGCTCAGGAAACCCCTTGACTGCTCAGTTGTTCCCCACCCGAGAGCCCCTCCCACACTGCACACAGGGGGGAGAGAGAATGCTGCCCCGTGTAAAAGACACCCATCACTCACTAGTGCTGTCAGTGCCTCAAAAGGTGCTCTGAAAACTATTTGCCACCCTGCTTGGGCTATTTGTGTCTCTTTAGGATGGAGAAGGGACTTGAGAGGGTTTCTCTAGATCAGCGATTCCCAACGTGGTGCCCATGGGCACCATGGATAAAACTTCAAAAGAATACAAACTAAAGGGAAGCTGCATTTTAAAGTTGAGGATCTAATGCAATTTTAAGTAATGGATTGATCTAAATTCTAAACTTTAATATTCATATTGGTGCCCACTACTTTTTCTTTTAAATTTGAATGTGCCCTTGGGCACACAAACGTTGGGAACTCCTGCTCTCGACTGACTTTGCTGCTTGCTTTTCCCTTGCACCTGAAGCTGTGATGTCTCTGGCGGAACGGAAGAGCAGCAGGGGCCCAAGAATTTACTGCCAGATTTTAACAGCTCCACTGGTCCCTCAAGACCTTCTTTACTCACACTGGGCACTTCAAAAGAAAGAAGCACTCAGAGGATTGTCAGCTAGCTGAGGAAAGTACCTCCCAACTGTACTGAGTGTCACCTGTGGGCCATGAGTTTCATAGTTTCTAGGGTTGGAAGGGACCTGAGCAGATCATTGAGTCCAACTCCCT